CCTGCTTCCTAGTCGCTGCCTAAGCTATCTTGGGATGCAGCTTGCAGAGGCCGCTCCTCCTGCTGCTGCCTGGCTGCTGGCCAGAGGCTTTGAGAACCATCCCAGGGAGGCCTGGCCTCTGCTAAGTGAGGCAAAGGAGAGGGAGGTGGACCAGCCCCCCCCCCCCCCCAAGGCTAGCTGTCCTGACACTGCATGGCTTCCCAGAAGCCGCATTCTGACCTTGTAAGAGCCACTGCACTGAGCTGCATGCACAAGCCTCTTTACTTTTTATTCTGAGACAAGGTCTCATTGAGTTGCCCAAGCTGGCCCTCTATGAGGCTCAAGTTTGGTCTTGACTATCCGTCATTCTAACTTAGCCTCTCACTCCAGGAGCTGGGATTATAGGCCTGCACCACTAGGCTTAGGGAAAGAGACATGCTTTAATATAAGTTTATTAGCTCATTACTTATTAATATCATAGAAGAGCCTATTTGTTTAGGCCTGTGCCAACTTTCGATGCAGAAGCACAGAGGTTGTTTTTCTTTTTTCTTTTCTTCCTTTGCTTTGACACAGACTCCAACCTCAGCACAAAGTGTATTCTGGACCTCGCACTTCCCGGCAGTGTGGGGGCCATCCACAGTGTTTTTACTGTGTCTTTGCTTTCTACTCAGGGTGTCAGTAGCCAGGTCTTCTCCAGTTGTGAGAGCCCAGAAGTCTCCAGTTGTCACCTAGGTTGCATGACAAAATTGCTTCTGTTGAAATGCAGACTTTTAAACAAGTCTTCTTTGAGGTGGTAGTCTATCAGGAGGTTTGCCTTCCGGTCCCCCCTTCCGACGTTCTGTAATGGATGGTTGCATCAGTTGAGTCCTAAGTCTACCAGCTCTGTGGCTCAGAATTCAAAGCCCACCTAAGGGGGTGGATTTCTTTTTTTATATATCTTATAATTTACTTTTATTTTATGTTCATTGGTATTTTGCCTACATTTATGTCTGTGTGAGGGTATTGGATACCATGGAACTGGAGTTACAGACAGTTGTGAGCTGTCATGTGGGTGCTGGGAATTGAACCCAGGTCCTCTGAGCCATCTCTCCAGTGCCAAGGGTGCATCTCTTAAGAGAGAGAGAAAAAGGCTTGCCATTGCAGCCCCAGTTCATCCTCACTTCTGTGTTGTTCTCCGGAGGCCAAAGCAATCCAGGGTTGGTGCTGGATTGGTAGTCTGCTGGAGACACCTGCTTGCTGTGCGACCTTGAGCCCTGCACATGGCTTCTCTGGGCCTGGTTCAAGGTCTGCTGCCAATCCCTGCCCTGATGCAATTAGCCTATGCAGCACAGATATGGCAGCCAAGCAGAGGCGAGCAGAGAAGCGGTCAGAAGTGTTTTCTGTTGCTTGCCTGTCAGCCACATTCCATCAGGTCCAGGATTAGCTTTGGTTGGGAGGCAGGCCTCAGGCTTCCTCCTCAATCTGTGTCCTTCCCGGAATCCTGTCTGCACCCTACCTTTGTCTCTGTCTCCAGCCCACTTACATTTCCCAGATAACCTCAGACAAGCTTGAATGGCAGCAACATTCCTCAAACAAAGCTGCCCCAAAAGGTCGCCAGCACAGGCCGGCAGCTTCCTGCTCTTTGCCCCAGAAAACAGTTCAAGTGATCAGATGCAGGGAGAGAGAAGGGAGAAAGGAGAGGGTGAGGGAGGGCGTGTGTGTGTGAGTGTGTGCAGTTGCTTTAGTAACAAGCTTTAACCTGGGATATCCATGAGTGCCCAGCTGTGAATGTATTTCCTTTTCCAGTTGTGAAGTTAGGTGCCCATGAGATCTAGCACCAACCCCATGTGGTGTTTATTCCCTAAGGCAGTATTTCATTTGGGCAGTGGTGGAGGCCTCTGCCACATGAACGGGAGGGAGAGGAGAGTGTGCCTGCCTCAGGTCTCTGCTTCCCCATTTGGTCCCAGTAAGGTTTCCCTCCCCAGCAAGAGCGGACTCCTCCCTTCGGGTGAGGCCAGGCCCGTTGTCCTGAGTGCCTTTGTCCTCTCTGTGTCTCCGCCTCGGCCTGTTAAAACAACAAATCCTGTCTCCTTTCCAAAGCCAGGGCTCTTCCCTGCAGTAGTGTTTAGATTCCTGGCTGGGTCTATAGCCTGATAGCAGAGCCCCAGCCAGGGAGAATGCCTGCTGGCCGGCTGGGCATCTGTTGTCCTTGGGGGGGCAGGGAGAGCCAGCCAGCAGTTGAGCTCTTCAATTTCTTTGAGGAATGGTGGGGAGGCAGGGATGAGCCTGAATTTCTGTCGCTGAGGGAGACTTTATTGCTTCCTGGGTTTGCCTCCTGGTGTCTGGCTGCCTCAGCTCCAGCCCCCAAGGAAAGGTGTTTACTTCACATCTGTTTTTTCTTTTTTTAATATATCTTGTTAATTAAGTATATTATTGTTTAAAAATAACTAAAGGGTAGGAAAGAGGCTTGGACGGTTTAAGGTTCTTATCTTTGCCCTCTCTACAGATGCAGCTTTTAGGAAGAAACAGGCATCGCCCTCCCACCCAGCACTATTGAAACGAGTAGAATTATAAGCAGGTCTGAGAAACTAGTTAATATTTTACTGGGGAGCAGAGCCAGGGACTGGGGGAGTGGGGGGAATTGCCAAGTGTGAGGCTGTGTGTGAAGTCGCCGTTCCCTCTGCCTTAGGGGACGAAAAGAAGCAGTTCTCTGTGGAAATAAATTGAAGCAAGAACCCTTGCGAAGCCCAGGGGATTTGTCTGCCCACCAGACAGGGCCCAGTTCCCCCCCCAGAACACACATACAGAGGCGATTGTGGCCGAAAGGGCTAACCTGTGGGTGTGTAGGCCTGACTATAATGGAGGTTCTTGTTTCCTGGCTGGGTTTGACATCGTTCTCTGTCCCTCTGGATTTAAATGGCTTCTCAGACACTGCCTGTATGCCCTGGATTCAGAAGGTCCACGCCTCCTCGGGAAGCAGAGGCGAGACAGCAGTTAGCTAGCTCTCCCTCTCTCTTTCTGCATCTGCCCGGGAGAGCTGCAGCTGGTATTTTTCCACAGGCCTTTTCTGCAATCTCAGGGCCTAGTTTTTCCCAGCAAGGCCCAGAGTCCGAGAGAGGGTTAACAGGCAGGAAGCTGAAGGCATCACAGACTAATACGGAAGTCAGATTTTTGTTTAACTGACAGGTTTAGCAGGCCTCATTGGTGGGGGAGGGAGCTGGGAAGGGAGGTCTGTAGATGGAGGCATGTGGCCTGCTAGCAACGCCTTTGGCTTTTCCTAGGGTAAGCCTGGAGAGGGTTCCCCCCTTGCCATCTTGACAGAGAGACCCTTTTGGTTTTAATTTGAGGACTGACCGGGGGGTTGGTGAGAGGTTGTAGGCTCCCAGCCTTGCAAATGGCAATGTGGGCCCGTTTTCTCCTACAGGCACTCTGACCATGACTAGGCAAACTTGACCACTCCTTCCCACGGCAGAGGCTCCTCTCAGCTCCCAGGAACCTGGCTGCTCCTTGCTGATTTGTTGGGGGCCTCCCTTGGGCTGCCTGTTCCCCCCTCAGCCCCTCAGAGGCCTGCATCTGGCCTTGTCCCTCTTGCTCCTGTTTCCCTGGGGCTTTCCACCCCTCAGCTCGACTTTTCTCCTTTGAGATCCACTCAAGCTGGCTTGTTCCAGAAAACGGGCTGCTTTCCTCCTAAGAAAAGCACTTTTGTGTGGGGGCAGGTGTGGATGAGTTCTCCAGCCCACCCCAAAAGGGCTCTTCCCAGTGGCATCCTGGCCTCAGGCTTTGCTGGAGCAGGTCAGGCTGGCTGCACAGGTTTGCCAGGACCGGGGAATCTCGCCAGGGTGTGGGAGAAGTGCGTGCGGGGGCCCCTTTCCCAAGTTTTTCTTCCTGCAAAAGGCCTAGCTTGGCCTGTCTTTTTCTATGCACAGGATGGCTCTTGCTCACCCGAGCCTCACAAAGATAATCGCTCAGGAAGTGTTTCAGCCAATCCGCGGCGGCTTTACACTCCGATTTGCCGGGGCAGCCAATCGCGGATGAGCTTTTATTAGGCGGCCAGATCATCAGCCGAAGTGCCAAACCCTTTTTCTGTGAGAACTAGGAGCCTGTCCTCCATGTTTTATAAGTATTGACATTACACAGTTAACAATGCATCCACAGAGGTAAGCTCGCCTTTTTAACCATCTTTTCCTCCCTCCCTCTGAGTCATCCGACTTGTGGACTAGCAGTGTGATTTCTCTGTAGCCTGGCTGTGGCACACTCATCCCCCCAGAGCACTTAGGCTAACTTGGGACTGTTTAGAGAGATTTTTTTTTCCTTTCTTGGGTCACATGGCTAAGTAGCCATTAGCCTTAGCTTGATTTTACTGCCTGGTGAGGGCCTGGGACACTTTTACTCTGACCAGGTCATAGAATTTCTGGAATAGTTTGAAGCTAGATCCTGGTATGCCAAAAGAGTAGCTATTATTTTATTTCCCCTCCTCTCTCTCTTTTTTTACTCCCTTCCTCTCTCTGTCTTCCCTCTCTGCCTCTCTGAACAGACGCCCCCCACCCCCACCCCTGTACTGTTGTCTTGCTCTGTCACATGCTTGCTGGGGGAAGAAAACAGAAGGTAAGCCAGGAGGTCTTCTCCCAGCACTGTTCAGGACTGCGCGTGTTAGCAGAGCAAGCAACCCTGCTTCTCCAGAGAGGTTCTGGGAAAGGCTGGGCTAAGTTCTGACAAGACAGGATGTGTGTTTGTTTGCAACAGAACCCAGGCCTGAGCAAGAGCAGTGCTCAGAGAGCCAGGCTGGCTCCTGGGCCTAGGTGGGTGGTGGCGTGTGGACTTCTCTTCCTCTACAGTGCTTCGCACTTACAGCTACGTTCATCAGCCTTTTTCCCTGACTAAGCTTTGGTACAGAGTGTTCTTCAAGCCAGCCTACAGCCAGCAAATGGTTCTGAAAGTGTTTTCTAGCCTCTGAGGGAGTTTGTGGAGTAGGGATGGTGCCTGGGGTGTGGGGTGGGGGTGAGGATGGAGAGAGATTTTGAATAACATCCTGCAGGGGAAAAAAAAAAAGCCCTGGGAGGACTCTGACTTCTTTAGCTTTCTGCTTTTGCATGCTTTTCCATGGGCTTATGTTTCTTTCATCCTGTTTTCTTCTCCTTCTCTCTTTTTAAACATTATATCATCTTCTGGCCTCTGTGATACAGTGTAGAGGGCATAAGATCATACCTGAGGCTCATGACAGCATCCCAGATCCAGTTGCTGGGCTGTGTTGTGGTGGTGGTGCACGGTTTTTAATAGTACCATGTAACTGTTTACAAAAATTTTTCCTTTTTGATCAAGTCCCAAATCTTCCAGCTTGTTCTCTCTTCCTAACTGGAAAAGTGAGACCGTTGCTTGAACGTATGTTGGGTAAGTAAAGCAATCCATCTCCTCTGGCTGTGTAGCAAGAGTTCCGTGAACATTTGGGGTCTGTTGTAATGGGGGGAGGGTGGCTTCTAGAGAGTGTCTTGAGTTTAGGTGATGGCTTGAATCCACTGTTGTTCCTGCTAACCTGCAGTTAGGACTCAAGATCTCACTTCCTGTTTACCCTCAGCTGGGGAGGAATTGGCTGGGTTCATTGTGACTTGCAGCTAGACCTTGAATTGTGTCTGGCTCTTCTGACCTCTGGGTAGGTGATCTGCTTGTGAAATGGGAACCAAACTCTGTTTGTTCTCAGGGGTTCCAGAGCCCTACACACAGGGTATGTGCCTGTGCGTGTGTGCCTTGTGTTGTCATATATAAGTTTTATGGTGTTTACATCTGGTAGAGAGTCCTATCCACTCCCAAACTAGGTTTGGCTTAGGATTCACTGACCACCAGTTTTAGTTACCCCCCCCCCCAAGCCTGGTCCATACTTCTGTGCATGTTGGCTTTTCACTTGCCCTAATTTTAAGGGTGCAGCTAGAATTTTAAAGTGACAGAAGTCGACTTTCTGTTAGCATTTATCTTCAGGGTCTGCCTGGAAGCTCACCACGTGTATTCCCAGCTTTGAGATCCAGCCAACCTGCATGGACGCACTCCCCCGTTTGCAGGGGTGGTCTTAGGCCAACGTCACACACCCACTAATCTTTTTCTTTTAGGGTTCAAGCAACTCGACCTTTGACATAGTTGAGAAAGGCTCATTTAGGACAGAGGTGTATGGACTGAATTGTGGACTGGGAAGTCTGTGTGAGGCAGGCCAGCATCACTGAAGTCACAAATACAGATGGAGTGTAAGGCTCTTTAGCCAGTGCCACTGCCCTGCACAAGTTCTGCTAGTCTTTCTTATCTCGTTGCTGTAAATGGAAATTACAGACTGAAGTTCTCAGTTGGTCTTCCCCAGAACCAGTGGCTAATCAGAAGCCTCCTGGTTTGCCTCTGTCAGTATTTGCAGAACTTGTCAGGCTGGAAAGAAACTTGAGGGCAAAGCGATTGTCCTCCAAAAGCTTGCATTAAAATGGCTCCCACAGGTTTGGAAAGCCAGTCTCTGTTTGTGAATGTGAACCCCAGCCAATTTCCCAGCCCTGGCTCAAGCTGGCTGGTTTTCCTCATGGCCACCACCATGCCCGGGTTGGTAAAAAGTTAATTGCTTTCGAAGTAGCATTCTTTCCCACTTACTAAAGGGAGAATAATAAAAGGGCTGCATTGCAGTTGGACTAGGTGGACCTCAGTGCTGGCTCACAGAGTGGCCCAATGGGTTCCGTTTTCCCCTCCTGCACTTTTAACCCAGTAGATTTTGGGAAAAGGTTAAAGATTGACAATTGCAGTGGTCTGAGTGTAGGAGTTCTGGAAATTTCTACCATTGTTTTGTTCCTTTTAGGAAAAAGCAGGTGGCCAAGCTGAAGAGTCTCCTACATTCCATCCCTAGGATTCCCCATCCCCCACCTCGCTTTTCCTCATCAAGGTGGAAGGTTCTCAACCCTTGTGCAAATTGCGGAGGGGAAAACAAACTGAGGGCCTGTTTTCCTTTTTCTTCTGCCTCCTTGGTCCCCAAAGAGGACTCACAGCTGCAAGGAACAAATACAGACACTGGCGCTTTTGATCTCCCCCCCCCCCATCTCTCTCTCCCTCTGCCTCCCTCCCTCCCAGCTCTCTCCCCTCTCCCCTCCCTTCACCCCTTTAAGACCTTCTAGGATGGGTACACCATTCTGCTTCGGGAGATGAAGTGGCATTCACGTGGGGGAGGGGAGTGACTGCTTTTATTAGCTCCAGAAAATGGCCAGTGCTCAGGCTTAACTAGGAATTAATTACATATAATCACTCAGTAAACTTTCTTCAGGGTTTTTCTAATTGTGGAGCAAGAGCATTGCAGAAGTCCAGTTGCTTTTATAATCAACGCTCAATAGATTTGAGTCAGAAAGAAAGAACGAGGTCCCTTGGATTATAAATTAGTGGTGGAAACAATACTTTCCTCCCTTCCAGGGAGCCAGTGCATCGGGTCTTAAAGATTGCGGTGGGGGTGGTGTCATGTTTTTGAAGGCTGGGTTCTGGTGACCCTGGAGGCACGGTGTGTTTGGGAAGTCCAACCTAGTCAAATGCGTGTGATCTCTTTTGTTTCTGTTTGCTTCCTTTCCCCTTCTGGCTTCTCTGGCCCAGGCACAAGCTTGCTAGCCTGTGGATATCTTTGCCTCTGGTTGACCCTGAGAAGAAAGACACGTTCAAGGGGCCCTGGCTCCACGGCTGAGATGTAAAAGGCAGTGTTGGGTTTAGAAGCCTCCAAGATTGTTCTTCAAATGCAAAAGCAACTCAGGAGTCACCCTTGGCCTCAGGTTGCTCGGCTCTAGCTGCCCTTCCCCCCTCGGGTTCTGCTTTTCTTACAGACAAACAGGGAGGCCCTGCCAGGCCCGCAACTAGCATGCTGCCAGGCCAGCCCTTCCTACCCGGATCACCTACCTGCAGGCCGGCTCTCAGCCAGCGGCCCAGCCTCGCCCTGCTCAGCCTTGGGCATGGTGCCCTCCTTTCTCCCTAGGAGCTGAAAAACTGTCACCTTGAAACTCCCTGCCCCCATCACGGGAGGAATCCTGCAGCCTTTAGACCTTAGCAGGCAATGACATTGGCTATTATTATTAGTTCGGCCTGTGAAAGGGGGCTTTGCAAAAAATGCATCGTTGCCTCCCAGGCCCTGGTAGGGGAGGTGGATGCAAGCCTCGGTTTGTGAGAGTGGTCTGTGGACTAGAGTTCCTCCTCTGCAGACCTGAGGGGGAGTCTGTCCTTGGTCATCCCTCTTATCAGGGGTGGCTGCTGTACTTGGTGGCAGTTTTTAGGATCACCATTCTTCCTGAATTTTCACCTTGGCCTCAGACAGAGGTGCAGCCCTGTCGCTGTACATCTTCGATGCCTGCTGTTCCGGGAGCTTTCATTTTTACCTGGAGAAGTGATGTGGAGCAGCTCTGGACTCAGAAGGGCACAAGCTGCCTCCCCTGCAGCCTGCTCTGTAGGACAGATCTGCGCGCAGGGACACCTGTCTGTCTTCACTTTATGCCAGGGGGCTGCGTAACTCCTAACCTTCCACCCACCTCAGTGCAGGGCAAGGGGCCCCAGCACAGTCTCCTGAGGAAGGCTGAACGCCGGGAAGGGGGGCCTTTTCCTTAGAAACGTGTGACTTCACTAACTCCTTGCCACTGCAGTTTGTTGGTTTTTTTTTTCTCTCTCTCTTTTTCTTTTTTTTTTTTTTTATTCTTCAAACGTTGGATTGTTGGTGTCCTTTGGTGGAGCGTTTCCTAGCTCTGATGTTTATGGAGGCAGCTTTGGAACTAGCAGGGCTCCTTAAACATGAGCTCAGCTTTTGAACAAACTGCTACCATTTTAGCTTCAATACAGGAATGAGGCACTGTTGCCAGCCGCCATTTTAAGAATCCTGCATAAATAGCTTAGCTCCGATGACTGCCCGTTTTAGGTGAGTGGTTATAGAAAGCGCTTTGCTAACCATCCTCCCCTCCCCCAATTAAAGGAAATTATTTGCAGATTCAGAGGAGCATGTTTGGTTTTGTTTTGCTTTTATTCCCCCCCTCCCCTTTACATTTTGATGCTGACTGTTGTGACATGGAGGAGAAGGAGGATGCTGTTCCTTGGGTATTAAGTATTTCTTACAGCCTGGACCTTTCTGGTATTTTTTTGAATGAAAGTAAAACCTAGAAGTGTTTGAGAATGATGCATGATCCCTGAATTGCTGTGTGATGTTCTTCTGACTGGGGCAACAAGGTCTTGTGCATGCTGGTAATATGTTCTAGCTGGGTTACAGATTGTTGTAAAAGTCAAGTATTAGGGCACTTGGGGAAAAGGAGGATCTATCTGCCTATTGTATCTCCATCCAGGCTCTTCCCCCATACCCTGTCAAACAGATGATAGGCTTTTTCTTCTCTCTCTCCTTTGGAAGTGTGGAAGGGGTGAGATGCCTGGGAATTATGGACCAGCCCTGAGTTCTCAGAATTAATAACCAGAAGGTTTAAGGCTCCCTGGATGGACAGGAGCGCGTATGTAACTTTTAATTGCTCCTTTCCCCCCAGTGGATGGAGGTTTGGAAGTAAGACCAGATTTCTTACGCAGACAATGAGTATGCAGGAGCCTTAATCTTTTTTTGGAAAGGAGAAAGAGATGGAGTTGATTGTGTCTGCAGGTGCCTGTCTCCTTTCTGTAGCAGTTAGTGGAGGTGTCTTGGGCAAGTACAGCAACTAGTTGATACTTTCTATTTTTTTTTCCTGTTGGCTTATTTTACCCTGCTCTTTGTGCATCCATTCACCCCCATCAGACCCTTTACAAAAATAGAAATGTCAGTTTGTAAACAGGACTTGTTTCTTTGTTGATTGAAATGATCAGGGTTGCTGGATTTTAGCAGCTGTGTGTGTGTGTGTGTGTGTGTGTGTGTGTGTGTGTGTGTGTGTCGGAGGGGCTGTGTATGCTAGGACTTTTAACATGTTAATGGCAAAAGTTCAAAATCTTTCTCCAGTTGCAGTTTTCTTCCTCAAGATTGCTGTTTGGCTCCCTGCCCCCCCCCCCCACTTCCACCCCACAACCTCCAGACAGCTCTTAAACTGAATTGCCCAAGATCTGTGGGGCATTTAGAAAGGTACCAATCTTTCCTCATCAGCACTTTTGATATGATCCCCTCTTAGTATGACGCCAGTGCTTAACATTGAACAAGAGGAAAAAAAAAAAAAAAAAAAAGGAATGAAAAGAAACCCGAGATTGTAGGTAAAAGGAAGTCTTGAATGTGGCTATTCGAAATGACTAATTTTGTGTTTTGTTTTTTTCAAAATGACTAATTTTATATTTTGGCCTTTGGTTTTGTACATGGAGTGTTTTTGTTTGTTTTCCCCTTTAAATTCACAGCCACTGCAATGTCAATTTAGTCAAATACAAGTTGTGCACTTGTGCATGTGTGTGCGCGTGTGCACACACGTGCACGAATGTACTTGCACAGATGCTGTTGTGTGAAAAAGATGGTTTTCCTCAATTGTGCAGGAAATCCTAGGCTCAACACTGGCGGTGCTGTCTCTAAGTCAGGTGGCTATGGTAATGCTTGGGAAGATAAAACAGCTTACCCCCCACTTCTGTTTCAGAATTGATTATCTCAAACTCAGCAGCAAACAGCCACCCCGAGAAACTGCTTTGCATTTTCTTAGCTTCTCAGCTGCACCCCTGCCTGAAGTATTCAGCCCCTCTGGGCTCTTACAAGCCACATAATTGTTCTCTTCAGTGCAGCCCTCCCGATTGATCAATACACCTTTGAATGTTTCCACGAAAGATTTCCATGATAGACATACTTCAAGTGGTTTCTTTGGGGGGGGGGGTTGGCACTTTCTGTGAATCATACTTGTTTCTTTCCCACTGGTGTGTTTTAGTTGGAGCACAGATTAGCATCCTCCCTCCCATCCCACAAAATCCTGGCGGGATCTCTTTTACACGTTTCATGCTAGGGAGGGGAACAGACTTCTAGTTGCTAGAAAGATCAAGGGTTCTGGGTTGTTCTTTTGAAGTTAAACCATCTACCCCATGTCTGGCGGCTGCAGGACTCACCTCCTCAGCAGCACCCAGGCAGGTAATCGCCGTTCCAGGCATGTTTTTCTGAGTTGGGTGTGCTTCTTTCTTGAAGCTGGAGTAAAAAGTGTACCTTCTACTGTTCCTTGCATTGTTCTATCCCCAGGTCTGGCCCGCTGGTGTCTTTTGAGGAGGATCACCTGTGACAGTGTATCATTACTTCCTTGGTGGTTTGTGTCATTTGTCTTTCTACAGAAGCCGACTAAATGAAATTGTTACCAAGACTCTATCACAATGCTAAGCATGTTAATGTTCAAATTCAAGCCCAAACTGTCTCCCTCTCTTGAGACTAGTTAAAGTAGAGAGGACTCTCAGCTCTTGTCGGGAGCAATAATCTTTTCTTTTTCTGCCTAGTTCCTGTCTTGTTCTGTCCTCCCAACACACCTGGGGCTCTCTCAAACAGGACTCCATCTTACCCTGAGCTTCTAGACATGAGGCTATCTTTTGGACCCATCCTTTGCCTTGTCACTGACGCAGAGCACTGAACACAGACAGGACCGTCTTCCAGTCTCTTTTTCTGTCTTGCCTTCAAGTCTTCCTGATGGAAAATTCCAGCCACATCAGTTGGTGATGCGTCTGCTTCTTTTTGCTGAACCACGGTCTGCTGGGATTGCACCTAGAGTGATTGCTTAGCTTTTCATAAAAGCAGCATCCGGAAATGCCTGGAACATTCTAGTACCTTAAGTTGTGTATTAAGAGCAGGTCTACATTTCCTTTGGTTTGGCTTGTGAAGTGTTAGGGGTTCTGTGTGTGTATGTGTGTGTGTGTGGTATTGAGATCTGACAGGGCCTGCTCTGGTTTAACCTGTGTTCCAGCAGAGAGGCAGAGAAGGTTCTGGATGATAGGCCTTCCTAGCTAAGGGGGCCTACCTTCCTCCTTTCCCCAGCTCTCCACTCAGCCTGTGTCTCCTAAATAATCCTTCCTCATCCCTCTGTCTGTGCTGGAGTGTAATTAGTCACAGTTCAGAAGGAAGCTATTCCTGCTGGGGTTCAGACCGCCTGGAGACCCCCGGGTCCTGATTCTTGGGATAAAGGCTGGTTGAGCCTGGCCATGTTTTTTACCTTGTAATTTAACCAGTCCGTCGTTTTTCATGTTCCTGCCTCATCGGAGAGCTATTATGTTCAGGATGGGGAGGCCTGGGAACTGGTAAAATTCTGAGTTAGGGATCCCAGGTACCGGGTGGAAGGTCTCTAACTTGCCTGTGTGGTGCCCTGGTGTAAGCAATGAGAGACCTGTTAATTTGATGGCTGGGTTCTTTAGGCTAGAAGTGGGTAGGTTGTACTGGAATTTAAAAACTAAAAAACACAGCCCCCCATCTCCTCATGAATGGTATGACAACTGAAATACTAATTTGGCTTTTTAAAAGTGTGTGTGTGTGTTTTTTTTTTTTTTTTTTTTAACTCTCCTAGTAATGGAAAGTAGTAATTTCAGCATCCTCACACTTGGCTGAAATCAGGTGTGCTTCCCATTCACAGGACGAGGAGGGCCTGGAGGGAGAGCGGGTTTGCTCTCTGGCTCCCCAGCTGCTGCCCCCACAGGGGCTGTTGGCAGCCTACCTAAACATACATAATTTGCTCTATTTCAGCTTGGCTGAGGAGGAAATAAAAACTGAACCGGAGGTGGTAGAGGGAATGGACATCTCTACTCGCTCCAAAGGTGAGTAAAAAAATCTCAGATTATCGGCTCAGTTCTTGAGGAAGAGGTTGGGGGGGCTTTCCTTTGTTGTCGTGGAGGGGTGAAATGTTCCCCGAGCTGCTGGCTGTGACACCCATAGCACTGTCGGCTCCTTTGATGGATGAACCTAATTTCTGGAGACATTGTTCAGTCCTCCTGTGCCTGTGTAGGTGCGCTGACTTGTCTGGAGTTGCCCTGTGGTAAATTTGGGGTGTGTGTCTGGGCCAGGGTGTCTGCCTGCCTCTTCCCAGAGTGGTTCTTACAAGATTCAAGAGTCCAAATGATGTGCTTCCTGCAGGAGCCACCGGGGTCTGCAGCTGTGGCAGGGTTTCTGATTTCCACAGCAAGCCTCTGGGGTGGAGGGGGCCGGCTTCATTGGAAAGTGGTGGTCTTGGTTAGCAGTAACAAGGGAGTAAGGAGGCCAGGGCCTGTATTCAGAGCAAACTGCCTGTCTGCTCTGCTGTTTATTCTGTATGCTGGGAGCCTGCAGTGGGCAGGTTCTGCCTTGCTGCTCAGTGGGAGGGTTTGTGGAGCACCCCAAAGGGAGCACTTGCATGGGCATTGGGTGCTCTCAACAGCAGCTGGTTGGAGTACTGTCACATATCTGCAGTAATAGCTAACTACTGTGTTTTGTTCCCTCGATGCAGCTCACTGCTCTGCCTGGGAGGTGGGAGGTGGGAGGGCCTGCGGGGCGGGTTGGCAGGAAGTGCTGTTATAGATCCTTCCAGGAGGAGACTCTCATCTGGCCAGGATGTCATAAAGTGTGACTTCCTAAAGGCACCTGAAAGAAAAGAACCTTTCAGGGCTTAAAAAGAAGGCAGCCTGTTATTTGGGTCAAGCTAAGGGTCAGGTGGCCACACAGAGCTTCCTGGGGCTACTCCGTGCTGGAGAGCAGGGTGGAAGAGGCAGGGTCACCGCCCTGTCCCCTGTCTCCACTGTCCCAGAATGTGCAGGCCATCTGAATTTCATTGCTTCAAGTGGCAAGGAACCCAGAGAGCTGGAGCAGGGAGTGTCATTCCATCCGAGCATTTGGAGGCAGTTGACCATGACCAAGGAAGCCCCTCGAAGCCTTGCTGCTGGGGATTGACTGACAAGGCATGTGACAGAGTAGAGAGGGTGAGGGACAGTCTGGAGAGGGGCTGGGTGGGGTTGAATCTCCATCTTTGCCTGCCTGACTTGTGTCCCTCCATTTTTATTTCTTTTTGGAGACTGGGTCTCACTATATTGCCCTTGCTGGCCTAGAATTTACTCTGTAGACCCTGTTGGCTTTGAATTCACAGAAATCCACCTGACTGCCTCCCGATTGTGCTGGGGTTAAAGGTGTGCACCATCACCGGTGTCTGGCTCCTTTTGTTATCTGTAAACCCAGATATGGGCTTACTTTATATGTTAGGCTCCTCCCACCTATCGTCTATGGCAACGATATTGATGTGTTTGAAGACTGGTGGGACATCATGAGCCTTCTGGTGTTGAACCTGTCCAATTCCCTTCTGAGGTGGGAGGTGTCCCCACTCTGTGGGGGAGGACACTGAGGCTCTAATGGGCGGTAAATGGTCAGTTAAGACTGTCTCTTTTCTGGACTCCTTCAGCAGGCAAAATGAACCTCCTCCAGAAGGCCCACAGTCATGGGTCACCAACTTGGGAAAGCTCACCAGGGTTCCTGCCTTGCCCACTGTGGAGACCTTTTCTGTTATGCAATAAGAGGTGCTTAATTCACAACTAAATGCTCCCCCCCCTTGCCTAAAGTTGCCAGCTGTGGTTGACCAGAGTCCATCTGCCTTTCCCAGGGTGGCGAGGACTACTGTTCAAAAGCACCTGGAGGGTTGGGAGATGGCTCAGTTGGTAAAGTCTGCAGGACTCGTGTAAAAATCCTGTCTCCAGTCCCTGGTCCCAGCGTGAGAAACACGGTGGGTGGATAGCCCAGGAGTAGCACCTGAGGTTGATCTCTGGCCTCCACACATGCCTGTGCACAGACGCCTCTTCCCTATGCCTTTCCTTCCAAAGCTTCTAATCCCTCCACCCACCTTCCACTACCCTTAGTCTTGTCTGAAGTCACTGTGATCTGCCTCTTGTGACACCCATTCACCTTGTCCCAACTCTCTCCGACTTCACTCCTTGTGTCCTCTGTCTGCCTGGAACACGATGTCCTGGGTTCTGGCACTGCCTCTTAACACACAGATTCATCTCAGATGTTGCTAAAAAGGCTTTGGGTGGCTGCTGGTTCTGAAGGAGTCACTTGCCGTTTTGAGACGTGTTTTTAAAATGAGTGCATTTTAAGAGTTTTAGATTTCAAGAAGACTAAAGAGGCGGCACAACCCCCACCCACTGCCCTCTTTGGCACATGTAGATGTTCAGAGTTCGTGCCCACACTGGATTCAGATTTCCTGGGAAGGCTCCCCCTCTCCCCCCAGTTTCTAATCCAGAATGCTATTACGGTACTACATGGCATTCTCTCCTTTACAGTTTCTCAGACCTTTATTTTTGATGACCTTGACATTTTCCAAATTCTACTCCTAAAGAAAGTTTTTTTTTTTTGACAGACTCATGTAGCTCACACTGGCCTTAACTTGCTCTTCAGTCAAGGGTGATGTGCCTACGCTCTGGGGTTCCAGGCGTGTGCCACCATGCGAGGTTTATTTGGTGCTGGGGGGTGGAACCAGGGACTCGTTAATGCTAGGTGAGCTTTCTACCAACTGAGCCACATCTCCGTCCCCACACTACAGTCTTTGGAAGGAAGTCACTGAGCCACATCCTCAGAGCAGAAGCTTGTGTCCCTGGTCTGTCCCCTCCGTGAGCCCCCTCCTTCTGCAGGCAGGGCCACTACATTAGAACTCTGTACAGCGGAGATGCCTTCCCCTGTCAATCTGTCTTTTTTCTTTTTTTTTTTAAAGGTTTATTGTTTAAAAAAAATTAATGTGTATGGGTGTTTTGCCTGCATGTATGCCTGTGTACCATGTTCATGCCTGGTGCCCACAGAGGCCAGAAGAGGGAATTGGATCCCCTGGATTCGGAATTATAGGTGGTTGTGAGCCATGTGGGTGCTGGGAATTAAATCCACGTTGTCTGGAAGAACCAGTGCTCTTAATTGCTGAGCCCTCTCTCCTATGTGTTTCTTTGTTCTTTTATATTATCATGGACCCAAGGACCAGTCTTGTACTCTTGGGCTGATGCATTGCTACTTGCTACAAATTGCTTTTATTGGCTCTTGGTATCCTTAGGACAGCTTCTGTCACCGTGGGCTCCGTTTATGACTTTCTGTTTGTGTTCTGCTTCAGGCCCTTTCTGGAATAGAGGTATTAGATACCAAGATCCAGGTGTGCTGGGTATGCTCTTCCATGCTGGGGGATCTGCTTCCAGGTTCTCTTGAGTTAATCAAGAAGCAAGTGTGTGTCCTCACAGTGACTGATTCTGTCTGAATACTTGTGTGCATATGTACAACACACATGCATATACTGTTATATACATACATGTGGAGGTCAGAAGATAGCATACTGGAGTTGATTCTTTATACCACATGGGACTCTGGGATCAAACTTGGGTTTCCAGTCTTGGTGGCAAGCGACTTTACCCACTGAGCCAACTCACCAGCCCCTAGCTCCCTTCCATTAGTATGGGCCATCTCCAGCTTTCCCTAGCTCATCAGTCCCAACATTGAGAAAGCTGACTCTCCTGCTTGCCTTTTGTGTACTGTGTTGGAGTATTTCTAGCCTGATCTGCAGTACAGTGATAACTGTTAACAAGTGTACTCAGTAGGCCATGATCCACTCGGGGTGATGGGGGATGGAGAGATGGCTCAGTGATTAAGGGTTATGGTTGCTGTTTTCCAGAGGAGTAGAGTTTGGTTCCTGCCATCCACAGCTGCCTCGAATTTCAGGTGCTGGGGGATTCAACCCCTTCTGGTCGGGCACACACATGTGGCACACACATACATACACAGGCTTAAAAAAAAAAAGGTAACGGAGCCGGGCATTGGTGGCGCACACCTTTTATTCCAGCACTTGGGAGGCAGAGGCAGGCAGATCTCTGAGTTTGAGGCCAGCTTGGTCTGCAGAGCGAGTTCCAGGACAGGCTCCAAAGCAATATAGAGAACTCTGTCTCAGAAACCCCTCCCCTGCCAAAAAAAAAAAAAAAAAAAAAAAAAAGGATAATGGAATACATAATACTTCTAGCTGTCTAGAAAATTCCTCCATCATTATTCTCATTGTGTTCTTGTGCTGTTTTGCTTGCTGCCCTTCAAGAGCACAGGATTTTCCAAGTGTGCCCTACCTCCCATCTGAGAGAAAGGTGGGGTGGCTTTTTTTTCCATTTTGTATGTGTGTGCGAGTCACTAGTGCTTGACTATGTGTGGCTTGTTGAAGCCAGAGGTAAACCTTGGTTGTCTTCCTCAATTGCTCTCCACCTCAGTTATTTGAGACCCGGTCTGACTGAACCTGGAGTTGGCCATTTTGGCTAGACTGCCTGGCTATCAAGCCCCTGGTGTTTGTCTGTCTCCCCCTTCCCCCATGCTCTGGGGTTATGCCCTTACATTCCTGTGTCTGGCTTTTGACATGGTGCTTTTGTTACAGGTTGCCAGGTTTTTGCAGTGGGCACTTTATCCCAGGACTTATTTTATTATTTGAGGTAGGATCTCACAGATTCCAGGAAGACTTGTAATGCTGGTGAGGGTGACCTTGAACTTCTGATCTTCCTGCCACTGCTCCATGTTCCAGACTTTATGCACCATTACAGATGTGAGATGAGCTACATCAACAGCCCACGAAGGGTGTTTAAACCAGCCAGAGAGCCAGACTCCCAGGGTCCTGCTTGCCCCTGGCAGAGCTTTGTTCCTCTTTGTTTTGTTTTGTTTTTTTGAGACAGGGTTTCTCTGTGTAACAGTCCTAGCTGTCCTGGAACTCACTGTGTAGACCAGGCTGGCCTCAAAGAGATCCCACTGCCTCTGCCTCGAGAGTTCTGAGATTAAAGCCGTGGGCGCAGCTAGCCCA